ATAGAAACCTAAGGATAGCCTATCTTATTTATCTTTAATAAACATATATTTTATTTATAAACTATTGTCTGCCCGAACTGCCACAGACAGAAGGGTATAGTTTCTCAAAGAAATAGAAATTATACTTATCTGTTAGACACCGCTATAAACCTGTGAAGGATCTCTGTAGCCATATTATTGTTATAATACTGCTGTTAAGAAGGCCATGGTACTGTAACAGCATTAACATAATTATTATAATCAAAATATCAATAATGTAACCAAAATTTTTTGTTTGTCTCTCTGCATAATGCATTATTACAAAACTATTTTGAAAACAATAATTAATTATAATCAGAAATACTCTGAACTTATATTGGTTTCTGATTTCTAGTTATATAAATATATAGAAATAAGAATATATTTGTAGCACTAAAGTAGAATTATCACACAAAAAAATTTTAAAATAAAATTTTGTGCGGTTAGAATTCATAAGTATTTTATATACCAAAATTTTGCAAAGAAAATTTTTTACTAATGTGCAGAAAGCTCTTTTATAAACTTAATTTTTGAATTATAAGCGATTTTTGATTTGTTTTGAATTTTCCTGATCTTGAAATTTAATTGGTTGTGAAATTTTTTAGAATGATAATCCTACCCCTAGTATTTTAATCAATTAATTGATTAATTATTTTTTCAGTTAGTTGCAAGTTACAACTAATCGATTAATCAATTAATCGATTAGTTGCAACTAAATTGGTTCATTTGCAACAATTGATTAATTCTTTAGCCAATTAATTGCAACTAATTCATTAATTGGTGATTTGCCAGTCAACCAGAGAGAGGTCATAGTGTAACATGATGCAGTTTACATATAGAAATTAGTTTTGCAAATGTGAGCTGTATACTAAGTTAACTACCTTTGAATTTCGTCTCAACGAACTCTACAACTTCAATTAGAAGTTCAAAGGTGTTAACTTAGTACGAAAAAAAGTTTCAGAATGATGCAGCTCACATTTGCAAAACCCTAATTTCTTAAACCGCGTCACGTTACACTATGACCTCTCTCTGGTTGACTGGCGTATCAGTCAATTAGTTGCAACTAATTGATTAGTCGATTAATCGATTAGTTGTCAGCTAACCAACTAATCGATTTTTTCAACTTTCGATTTGTAACCAGTTGATTAGTGGAACACCCAAAATTCAGCAAACCGACCAAAATTTAGGGTCAGAATAGGACGGGAGCTAGGCCGGCATTAAGTAATAATACAAGCAAACTATACTACAGCAAAATTATCATCTGGGCAGCTTTACTTAGTACGTGGACTACTATTTCATTAGTGAAATTATCAATTCCGGCCTATTCCGACCCTAAATTTTGGTCGATCTGCTGAATTTATCTATTAGTTATTAACTTGATATGATAATATATACATACAGTACAGTATTTTTATAATTTATCACTGAAATTTAGAATTACAGTTAGAATTGAGGTTATGCTTAAAACATCAATGACTAATTACTTAGCTAATTTTTGATATAGCAATTGTAGTGGTAGACACCATTGGTATGATTTGGTAAAGCTTTTTAGTTTGTTAACGTTAGAAAATCGAAATATTACGCAATCTAATTAGGAGGCGACTTTTTATGATATAATAATAAAAATTTAAAAGGGTTATTACATCAAGAAATATGTCATTATGGATTTTTGTGTAATTAGACAAGGTGGCATCTCTAGTATAAATATAGAACTTTTTGCAATAATGTAGATCATGCTTAGCCGATTCATTATATAATGGAAAAAGCCAGATTGATTTTGTGTTATTTCTGCATTTGAAAAATGTTGAATTATATCATTAATTTCCGAAAATATAAATAGACACCATGTACGGTTTATTTTAATGCATCTAAAAATGATGATGGATGGATTAGAATTTGGGTATCACCCAAAATACGGTTTTGCCTTATTCGCAACTCGTGATTTCCAAAAAGGAGAAATTCTCTTGTCTGAAAAACCTCTTATAGTCTCCCAAACCCTAACCTCTAAACGCGACAAAGCTTTCGTTTATACTTATGATATTGACTTGGATGTCTTCTCAACCTTTAAAGCATTCTTTGACTCTTCAATAGAAATACAAAACATCATTTTAAATAATTTCTATCTTCCATCAACTCCAGAATTAATGGATACCGCAGGTCGGATCTACTCGTTTAGACAGAATCATCGACATTTGTCAAAAACACATTCGGGAATGGTCAGATGTTAATCGAGACACGTTTAAGAGAGTGTTCTTAGTATTTACCTTTAATTCACATGCTTTTGGATCGGATAATTCACCTGCTATTTTTGCGATTGGAAGTAAAATGAACCATTCTTGTGAAGCAAATACATTTTATCAATCTATTGATAATCAAGTTGGCATTCATACGGTCGTTAAGAAAATTCGAAAAGGTGATCAAATAACCACCAATTATCTTGGGAAAGATACGATTTTCTCAACTAATTCCAGACAAAAAATTCTCCAAAAAACGAAATTATTTCAATGTGATTGTTCACGATGCACAGAGAAATTGGACATATCACGGGGACTTCCTTGTCCAAATTGCTCAATTGGTGGATATATTTATTGGCATCCAACTTCCATGATAAATGATAAAAATGATAGAATTAAATCACAAAGTTATTGGCTTTGCGACATGTGCAATACCAGAATTGATGACAATAGCCCCTACCTTAATGATTTATTAGTGAAAGAAAAAGACATAGAGCATGAAACAATCGCTCTTAATGAAAGACTAAATGAGATTAATTCATAGGTCAGCTCGGGACTCGTCATTGGACGTACATTCTAATTCTCAAAATGTTAATACTTTTTGATACAACACAATTATCGAACGGAAAATGTGATAATAAATCGTCCCTAGTTAAAAATTTTGACAATGTATTGAATTGGTATGAAAAAGGCGAATTTGATATTCCAAGATACTTAGGTTCATTTACTTTGCACATTGCAAGTGTTCTTTTTTGCATTGAGGATTATTATAATAGTTTGCGCTTTCTTGAAAGAGTTTTTAATTTTCCTTATGATAAAACATTTTCACATGAGTACAAAGAAGCTATTAACCTTATGAAAAGATGTCATATGGCATTGGATGAATCCGTTTCTGGTCAAAAAAATAAATCATACATGAAACCAAGTTGTGAATTGCTTCAAACTGAATTGTAAGAAGTGAGATAGTGGAAATAGTCAATATATATTCATAATGAAGGTACAATACATATTTATTGTTTGTGCATGTATGCATATATATCTAATTGATAATAGTAAAAAAAAAATTGATCCTCACAGTTTATCATTCTATGCGTACAAACTTTATGAACCACGCGTTTTAAGTTTTAACTACGTGTTTGTGATACGTTTGTTATGTATCGCAGACTATCAACGAATTTTTTGTGTACGTACGTATGTAGTTGATCATGTAAGGAAATATCAAGTGTATCATACATTTTTAATCTGTTTCATACATGCTATACTATACAATACTATACAAAGCGATGATTTAAAAATCATCCCTTTTACAGCATTAAAATCCGTTTTATTAAAACTTGGGTGTAACAAAATTGTCACCAATTATAAAAATCGTCAGAAGCCCGACCAGCATTAGTGGGCATTAATAGGCTTTAATGTTACAGTATTAAGCGAATATATGGTTGTTACACAATGTATCAAGGCATTAATACACTACTGTACTGGTATTTGAACTAGATAATAAATCGGTTCTTAAATTTTTCCTTTCAAAAAAAAAAAATAAAAAATAAAAAATAAAAAATAATTTTTTTTTTTATTCAAACATAGCTTAAAAATTTGTAAATTATATGGCTCTAAAGGTTAGTTTAACCTTTATTCTACACGCCTCAAAAGCATCATCCTGATTTTGAAACGAGGAATTAAACTACAAAGTTTTTTTTTTAGTACGAATTAGAACAATGGGGGGCAGCTGTCAAAGCTTATGATGAACAAGATTTCGACCTGGCCTTGGATACGTTCGAGGTAGGGTTGTTAAAACACGTCGATCTGAGCTTCGTTCCAAGTAATATCTTAGTTACTTGCTACACAATTCTTTTTTGTTTCCCATTTATTTGACAATTGCTTTTCACAAATAATAGACTATAGCAGATTCAGCAAAATTTCATTTTAATATGGGCTTAATTTATGCTACACTTGGCGAGCATGAAGAAGCAGTGAGTTTTATACAATTTGTTATTGCTTTTATTTGAGTTCACTCTCGTTAAGCCTTTATCGATTATTAAATTGAAGAAATTCCTAATTTTCACTAAAGTGTCGGTCCTATAAAAAATCCGTAAAATTGGATCAATACTTTGCTGTGGCATACTTTCAAAAAGGCGTATCACATTTTTTGCTGGGCGAATTTGAAAAAGCGCTTGCAAATTTCAATGATGCTTTACTGGTAATTTATTATTTTCTGTTTTAAAATTTATTATTTTCTTACGTTTTAATTGACCTTTTTTTTTTTTTTTAGTACCTTCGTGGTAATATGCTTATCGACTATGAACAGTTAGGCCTCAAATTCCGTCTTTACTCTTGTGAAGTCCTATTCAACCGCGGACTTTGCTATTTATATCTTGGTCAAACTGATCAAGGACTTGGTGATTTTTCATTTGCAGTAAAAGAAAAACAAACAGAAGAGCATGATGTTATTGATGAAGCTATTGAAGTTCAGGGTCAGGTATTGTATTTATTATTTTATTTTTTATTTTATTTTATTTTATGTTAGTATTTTTATTTTGGTATATAATTTATGAACAGTTTATTTAATTGTTAGTTTCTTATTTTTTTTTTTCCCTTTTTTTTTTTTTGTTTCAACATATTATGCATATTATGTAGGGTTTCACTGTTTTTTCCATTCCTGTTGGTGTAATATATAGGCCACCCGAAGGAAAACTTAAAAATGTTAAAACCAAGGATTACTTGGGAAAAGCAAAATTAGTTGCTGCAGTGGATCCCGAGGATGCATTCACTGGTTTTACAGGTGCTCAACAACAAAAAGTTAGCATTTGAAAAATTTTCAGATTATTCATTGTATAATTGTTATATTAATATAATTTACTGATTTTTAATTATGCTTTTTATATTCATTAGAAAGCACAAATGAGCACAACATCACCGCTTAATACAGGTAAAACCGACGGTGCGGTACTTGATGTTCCTAGACCAGAGTCACCACCACCTGAGAAAGTGGTGATTCGGCCCAAGTCTTTGTCAACTAATCCAAAATCACCACCTTTCCCCATTCGTGCGACACGCGACCCTAGCTCAAGAAGGCGTCAAAATGAAAGTGCTGAAAACAAATCTTCTGTGCGATCCGGAGCATCTACTCCTTTATTAGATACCAATGGAAATTCGGAATTAGATGCACCAATTTCTCGAAATGTTTCGTTACGAAAACCATCACCAAATCGATTACAATTGCAAAATAATCCTCAACGTTCTAATACAATAGATGGTGGACGTCCTTCACCAAAACTTCCTACTGTTCCAGTTCGGGTGAATTCTGCTAGAGAATCAAACCGTCCTCCCATGCAAAGATCTTCTAGTCTTAGAGATCCGGTGGGAAATTCTAATCTTAGAGATCCGTTATCACGATCAAACTCTCTTAGAGCGGTTTCTCCGAGAGGTGGTGTACGTACACCTCAAAGATTAAATACTGTTAATCGGCAACAGTATCTGCAGCAACAAATGAAGAATATGACCGTCACAGATGGCTATAATGATTATAATCAAGATCCGGGTCAATATGATAACGAAGACTACAATCAAATGTATATTTTCGTGGACAATTACAATTATATAGCAAAAATAGTGTTAATCTAAATCTAATTTTTCTGGTTTAAATTACATTAATAATAATAGAAGTCTAAATGAACAACGTCGGACTCCAAGTCTACGAGGTCGTGGAGTTAACACCCCTTTAAAAGGATCTAGTTTCAGGTCACCATTGGGTTTGCAAGGTGGATTAGCGACACCACCAACACCAGAAGATGGTGACTATGATTACAGTAATATTGTGGATGATGGTTATATTTACGGTGATGAAGATGAACCACAATTTGAAATGATCTCACCACCACAACAAAACTTTCAACAATCAAGTGAATCACTTAAAATAGTTTCTAAGGTTTGTATAGACCAATAGCAACATCCTTTCCATTTTGAACAATTATAAATCTTTATTATTAGATATATTATAATATGTTAAAATTATATATTTTGTATTCCAGATCAGGGTTAAATGTTATTATAAAGATAAAACGCCACGAGCAATTATGGTATCCACAGACATAGCATATGAGGATCTCTCAAAAAGAATACAGGAGAAATTTTCATTAAATAATCCTTTAAAAATGAAGTACAAAGATGAAGATGGTACAATGGTTATGATGGGTGATCAAGAAGACCTAGATATGGCTATTTCAATTATTCCTATGTCTGCTACTGACGTTGGCAAGATGGAGGTATGGTTATTTGTTATATTGTGATTGCGTCTTTGCTGTGATATTAATTCATTGATTATTGTAATAGATATGGATAGAAGAGTAACGTGTTCCAGAACTTCTAAATTGGTTGGGCTTTATGTGATAACGCATTTCTTTGACACATTTTTATCGGAGCACTCCGATCACGTGATAAATATTATTTTGCACTTATAAAAATCATTTGTTATATTTATTATATATTAAAATAATGGTAAAATTTACGTAAATAATAAATAGAAAAAAAAAATTATAATTAATAATAGATAAGCGATAGAATTAAAAAAAAAATTTTTATTTTTATTATCAAACATACATGTTTTATGACTACATAAAATTATATTATAACTTCATATGACTATATAAAATAATATATAGCTTTAAAATTTGAAACCAAATAACAGTATGTAATTCTATATGCTAAAAGGCTACCGCTATTTTTTTAAAAAGCAAATTTGTCGAACAAATCTGCTAATGATAAAAATAAGTAGATTGTCAAACTTGTTTCGGTTATTGATAATCCAGCATATCAACTCTCATGCGCTAGAAAATGATTTTATTGATAAGTGCAACAGTAGTTTTAGCGTTACAATATAAACATATATATATATTTAGAAATATTATTTCTAGAAATAGGTTAGAACTGCGTCACGGTTAATCAAAGTCAGGGTTTAGCCTTAGTTTCAGTTTGAGGTGCTACATACGTACGTCGAATATTCATTTAATTCAAATTATAAATTTTTATTGTTTTTTTATTATACGTATAGTAAAACAATAAAATTTTGTTAAATATTTTAAATACGTATATAGCAATTTAATTCTAAATATATATACCGATACAACGTAATACGGATAGTTATGTTACAATCAAACCTCCATATCGATTATGCTCAGTTCCAACTACAAATGAAATCCTTATAAATGCACACTCGATAAACGCACGATTATGGTAGGTTCCGATAGGGAATGCATAGACGGAAATTTGAGTGTTATATCATTCAATTATGAGAAACAAGATATATATCGATATATATGTGTATTTAAGACAATATATAAGGGATATCGCACTGACAATTATGTAAATTATATCTGAATTTTACGATCACGGGTAAAGGTGACATTTTCGAAGATCATGATACTGTGATCTAGACAATCGTTGACATTGAGGATTTGCCATCCATGAATCGTACGATAATTGAATCGTTCGATAATTGAAGATTTACCATGAACCGAACGATAATTGAATCGTACGATAATTTATACTATGAGTCGTATGATGAATTATTGGGGTGTATCCTATCGGTCAATTTACAAACATAGTGCAGATGATATAGTGATGATCACTAATAAATTTTTTTATTTTATCTCACTAATTGAAATATACGTCCGATTTACCAACTTAACGCGGGCATATAGTAAATCGTTGGCCGGGTTTTTATAAAAATTTATCTTTAAGAACTTTGAACCAATAAACATGTGCTTAATTATATTTATAAGAAAACCCGGACAACGAATTACTATGTGACCGTAGTAAATCATATGATAGCAGACGTTCAGGTAAGCCGTGGCATATTTCAATTAGTGATAAAATTCTAACGTAATTACTTTATAGACACTTTCATTAAACATCTTAGCTTTTACGTAAAGAACTTAAAAATATTAAGAACTAAACCCGATTTTTTATAATTTAATATGGAACGCAGAAAATATTTATTAGTGATCATCACTATATCATGTTTAAATTGATAGGATGCACCCCAATAATTTATGCCATTGATCATATGATAATTTATGGCAAACGCGAACTTGTATTAAGTTTCGCCATAATAATGTTTATCATTACTATTCCTTATGTATAAGTCTATAATAATTATATATATTATTGAAGTAATTGAACATTTTGAACATTTTTATATTGAAAGGACGGATAAATGTATACATAGTATACTACGATCCTTGAATATATTTATAACAAAGTTACGCATATGGGCAGATTTGCACCATCTAATAAATAATAAAGAAACCCATCAGTTATAATTCCAGTTAAAATTGTCGATCAGTTGACAGTTTCGTCATTAAAATTAAGTGATACAATAGAATTATATAACCACCCCGAATATTGCGCGTAGCATCACTATATCAAAAAAATATAGGCAAGTATACAATTAACCAATCAAATGCAAAATTTTTAATTTATTATCGTTATGTTTTCATGAACGGTTTCATCACGGTTTCATAAGCAATTTATAACTCAGAAGACAATCAACCAATCATACAATTAATACCGGCAATTTCGCATTATAGATCAAACTTTATGAATTTTTACTATATTATTTATTTTTACTAATCACCAAAATCAAGAAAAATTCACCCATCTATCAAGTAAATTAATTTAAATTTGGTCAAAATTTTTAACTGATGAGTTTTTTTATTTATGCCTTAAATTGTTCTTGTATAGTAAAATATATATCTATAAATAAAAAAAATCCATAGAGCTTGAACCTGTGAATCCCTTATTCAGACATCTGTGGTTAATTATTATCCAGGTGTTATAAATGTTTTATAGATAGCAACTATCATCTATCAGTTAGAGCAGTGTTATTTATTATCTAATTATTTTTTATCAGAGGTTTATTCTTATAGGAAGACTTTTGTATGATTGGTTGTTTAATTTTATATTATTTATACAGTTTAAAGTACTTTTTAAAAAAAAACAAAATTATGAAAAATAAACAAAAAAAATATATATATGAAGTTTTATTAAAGTTGTAGGACTTCAGTATTAAAAATAATCAAAATCATTTTTGGTTTTAAAGAAGTTAGTATAATAATAATTTCTTAAAAATAGATAGAATTAGTTTATTATTATGTTAATTTTTTAAACCTAAAAATAATTTTGATTATATTTAATACAAGAGTTTTACAATTCTAATAAAGCTTTTTATATACTTTTTTGTTTATTTTTTGTAATTTTATTTTTTGTAAAATAATTTGCAAAAAAATTAACAATATTTATTACTTCACAAATAATATTTTATTAAGTTTGGGTTTTATAGCTTAGCAGTTAAGTTCTTAAACCTTCACAGACAAAGTTGATGATTTAAGTTAGGTTGAAAGCAAATTATTTAATTTGTTTTTGTAATTTTAGAAGGTTATAATTAAATACAGAACTCTGTAGTTAAGTTTAAGTGCAAG